TCTGTGTTTGCTGTCTGCCAGACGCAGTGCTGGCACCTCACCGTCCTGGCCTAATGGATCCACAGAGTGCAGCCCCGCCACCCGCCGGCACACCTGTTTTCACATGTGGGAGCCGCAGCTTGGCTAGAATTGAGGAGCAGGGGGCTCTGCAGCTGGGCTCACCTCACGTCACGCTGCATGTTCTCAGGCAACACATAGTCTGGACCCCTACCACGTGCAGGCAGTCTTGGGGGTGCTGGCGGTGGTGAACAAAGCCCGGGACCTGTGTTCTCATGAAGCTGAGCATCTGCTAGGAGACACAGGCAGGAAGCACGCAGACATCCTAAGTGTCCCTAGGGTCCTCGAGGTGCTGTTTTATCTCTGTTCCTCCTTCCTTGGGATCCCCTGCAGGTACTCAACCAACAGGTATATTGTGCCCGTGTGGGACCTTCTACCACTCACACTGCTGCAGGACCAGGGGCTAGGAGGACACAGGCCTGGTCTCAGGAAGGTGGCAGAAGGTGACACAGGGGGATGCCAAGTTGCTCCTTTAGGCACCACAAGGGAGAAGTTAGCTTTCTCTTCTGGACCTGCTCAGCTTTGGTCTGCTCAAGTGAGCACTTTATTTCTGCCCTGAGTTTTCCAGGAACAGTGACTTACCATGAACAAACTGATGTAGGGAAAATGGTGCCCAGACTCAAATTTTTTGTCTGTGTCAATATTTAACATGGAATACTTAGAAATGCTGCTGCAGGATGAGGAGAGTAGGAAGAAAATATTTCTCTGGCTTCCATGAAAAAATTATGCCCATGCTAGAGATACAGTCTTGAAATACAATATGTGAAAGCAAATTTGAAGATTTTACTAAGTCTGAGACGTACACACCTTTTCTTCTCATTCGGCTAACTCTCCGTCATGAGCAAAATAAACATACGCCCTGCTCCCAGCTCCAAAGTGTGGGGGCCACAAGTTACACAAAGGACACGGGTGCACGTGTGCCGCCCACCCCCCCCCGGGTTCCTGCCCAGGTGTGGGGAGAGATGGTGGCGTACCTTTCCAGGAGCCTTAGTGTTGTTGGCTCTCAACTGCCTCATTGATAACACTATCTGGACGTGGCTTGGTTTCTCCCTGGAGATGCTTTTCCTGCTGATTCCTAAAACCTGATGCAGGACGATCACAGAGCACGCTGAGCCCGAGCGGTGGATATCTGTGATTTTTAGCTCTGACGATGACCTTGATCATCTGGACAAAATCCCACAAAGGCTGAGCAGATGCTCTGACTCCAAAACCACGTGGCCGGCTTCCTCCTGGGCACCATGGGAGGGATACGCTGACGAGCCCAAACATGCTGCCCCTGAAATGCTGAGAAAGTAAATCCTCAGAGTCAGTCTAGACAAAATGCATGGAAATCTGTTACGCATGCCTGAAAATTCATATAATTGCCTCTAGTTAATAGTGCTCTTGTAACAGTAAGCCAAAGTGTAAATTCTCTCTCCGTACATTACTACTGGTACATATCATCTGCATTGAGGTCCACACCGTTTCTGTCTGTGTAACATGCAGTCTATGTTCTTCCACAAGTAAGTGTTCTGAGTGACGATGTTTGCACAGTGACTGTGGGTTTGCAGTAGCCTTCCCGACAGCTTCTTACTTGCTTCTCCCGTGCTGGTGTGCTGCGGCACAGTTGGCATTTTGAAGCCCATCATGTGGACAAGGTGGACAGACCTCAGAGGTTGGGGTCCAGCGTGCCTTAGTGCCTAAAACTTGGACTCAGAATGCACGGCTTTCTGTAGCCAAACCAGCTCTGCGCATGGGCTTTGTGGGAGGCTTTGTCAGACTGAGGATGCTCCCCGGGGTCCTGGCCTCGAGGAAGGGCGGAGAAAGCTGGGTGGCTCTCCCGTGTGTCTCTGGGGTTAAACAGGACACGGCGGAAGCAGATTGTGATCAGTGAAGGTGGACACAGTGAGTCCTAGGGCAACCAACACTCTGTGTATACACATCACATGTAAAAATTACTTAGCTAATTGTTAATTCACCCCTCGTTACCAGTTAGCACATCACACATCCTCTGGCTTGTTACTAGCAAGTACATTACACGCGTGTCACATGTCTCATGCTCACAAGCCTGGATCATGTACGTGTCTCCATCGCGTGGGTCCAGCAACATGTCATAGACATACTGTACAATGTACAGTAAGAGAGGAAATGGGTGTATCCTGTCCTTTGTAATTACATTGTCACCATCCTGGTGCGCGCTGTCCAGACAGGACCCACCTCAGCTCCTGATCTCCGTCCCTACCCTGAAGAGGGTTTCAGGAGCCCCAGACTCTGTTTCCTTATTTCATCTTCATGCTGGACGGGAGGCCGTGGTGCGGCTGCTCGATGCTTGGTGGACCTGCTCGTGCATTGAGTGCCGGGAACGTGCCGTCCTCCTGCCTCCCGGACGCCGCTGCCTCTGCGGGAGGTCGGCTGGAGGCTTGGGGCTCCCTTGTAAGTGATGAGTTGTTTTTCTCTTGCCGCTTTGAGACGTGTCTCTTGTCTTTGATTCTCAGCGTGTTGACCTGAGGCATCTGTTTGTGGATGTGAGTATGGATCCTGTTTGGATCACTGGACCTGCCCCGGTGTGCAAACCAGCGATTCTCAGAACCCTCGGGAAGGCTCCGGCCGCCACTCCTTGGGACGTTTGGTCTGCCCTCGGTCTCTGCTCCTGCTGGTGCCCCCAGCGATGTCTCTTGCTTCTCAGAGCCCCCAACGGGGCTTCTTCCATCTTTCTTCTGCCTGTTTGTGGGCTGCACAGACCCCGCCAACCCTCCTGGCTCACTAATCCTTCCGTCAGGATGAACTCACTCCAGCCTCTCCAGTAAATCTTCCATTGCAGTTCTTCTCCTTACCTCCAGCGGACCCGCTAGTTCTGCCCACATGGTCTGTCCCTTCATGGGGGATCACTGTTGCCTGGGCTTCTTCAGACATGGATTCCTTAGTCCCTGGAACGTCCCCGGGATGGCTGTTTGCACACCTTCTTGTGCGAGGTGACCTCCAGCCACGTGCACCGGTCACGCCATCCCGTGTCCAGCACCCTGGGTCCCCACCCCCACCCAGGGCTTGTCACTGTTACTTGTGTGTGCGTCTGTCCATGCTGGTCTGCCACGCTCAGGGACAAGCCACTGAGCCATGCTCACGGTCACCCTGGGATGACAGGCGTTTCTCTCTTTCCCTGACCACACCCAACTGTCAAACTTCAGTAATTTTCAGGTGATTGGTCTGTTGTTCTCAACCAAGCTTTTTGGCATAAATGGCTCCACAGAATAATCCAGTCAAATCCGGGTTCCTTTGAAGGGACAGTCCCGGGGTCACTGTTTGGGATTCGTTCTCACCATGGCATCCACGACTTTTGCGGACGCCCGTAACTGTGAAGGCCTCCACACTGTACTGCAAACAAGGTCAGCATCTGCAAATAGGGCAGGAACCAGAGCTTTTGTGCCTTATTTCCCCCCAGACAAATCTCTGAGCAGGAGGTAGGGATGGTGATGCTTGTCTGTCAGTGAGCCTTGTGCTCAGACGTAGGCAGTGATGACCAGGCCGGGGGAGGGGGCTGCAAGGTCGGGGGGGGCGGACGTGAGGTGTGGGGGGGGCAAGGGGGCGGATGCGAGGTGAGGTGGGTGGCGGAGTGGACACAAGGTCGGGAGCAGGGGCCCAGGGGCGGATGTGAGGTCCGGGGGGCCGCAGGGCTGGACACAAGGTCGAGGGTCGGGGGCGGATGCGAGGTCGAGGGTCGGGGGCCAACAAGTGGTTGTGGGTGTCTGCGTGCACCAGAGAAGGAGGACTCTGCTTGAGAGCCTGTGGGAGGCTCTGTAACTCCCCACTGACCTGTCCACCGGTCCTTAACAAAACCATGAATAAACTCACAGCTGAAAGGTTATTAACACGTAACGTAGTGTGGACCTTGTTTCTTAAAATAATATGCCTGTTTTGTCATTCATTTTTTAAACTTTTCATGATCTGCTTAAGGACACAAAGGTACAGGCTCCATGGATTAATATACACTGTTTTCTTAAGGAAAAAGGAACAGGAGCATAAACGACATTCCGTTTTATAATAGTGGTATCAGTCAGCCGGGGCCGCACAGCCAAGTGCCACCCTCAGGGGCGTAAGCAGCAGACACTTAGGTTCTCACGCTTCCGGAGCCTGGATGTCCCTGTTGGTCCCCGCACGGGTCCGGTGCTGGTCAGAGCCTCTTCTGGCTGACAGACAGCCGTGTTGTCGTGTCCTCCCCAGGTGGGGACGGAGCTCTGGTGTCTCTTCCCGTAAAAACACCGGTCCTGCGGGATCAGGGCTCGACCTGGACCTCACCAGGTCACTGAGCATTAATTCCTTCTCAGAGGCACCCCCATCTCCAGAGACATCCATGCTGGGGACGTGAATCCGGGGACGCAAGTCAGTTGATCACAAGAGTTATATGTGAAGTAGCTTTGAAAAAAGCTTTCATGATAAGGAAGAACTACTGAATTAGAGACGATTATCCTGCTGTTACAAATAACTTGCCACGGGAAGGTCTGTGGCACGTTGATTTTTATGAAAAAAAGAAAGAACCAACTTCTTAGAAAGCTCACTATAAATTGGAAATGTGCGTGTGTCATAAAATAGCAGTGATGTTGAGTAACGATGATGCCTGAGTGCCCATCCTCATTGTGTCAAGAGCGTTAGTACCACAACAAGTGGTCTCGGAAAGAGTTATTACTGAGGACCCTATAAAACAAGAGCTCCATAATTCCTGAAAGAGCAAGAATCATTTCCTACACGTATTGACTATCATATTTTTTTACTGAATTAGAAACAGCTGTTCGTGATGGATTTCAAAGCTCTGAACTTACTTTTGGGGAATGTATGTAGTGGAGCAGGTTGGGCGTGTGACCATGGCCTCTGCCACGTCTCCCTGCGTGACTCTGGGCAGCACTGGAGGCTCTGTGGGCATGCACGAACCACTCGGGCTGGTGCACAGGGCGGCTCCCCTCTTCCCGCAGGTCCAGCGCGTTCAAGGTGCTGGCTCTGGACGGGGTCAGCACGGGGATCCTGCAGTTTCACACAGCCCAGGAGAGCGCTGACTGGCTGAGAGCAGTGTCCGCGAACATCAGTGACCTGACAAGACAGAGGGTGAGCAGACTTCCCAGGACTTTCTGCTTTTGCACTTAATCCACAAAAATGATTTGGTATTTCTTGTTATTTAGGATTAACCCTAAAATAGTTATAAGATTAAACAAGGAAATATGTACTTTTTTCAACATACCACGTCTCTGACTGAAAGAAGTTCAAACTCAAGTCCTGCGGATGTCTCCTGAGTGAGAGTCTGGGCCCGATCAGACATGTGGGTGCTCACCCCGTCCCTTCCTCTCTCTCCTCCTGCGTCCCCACACAAACACAGACGCTTTCATGTACGTATAATACCACGTACACTTGACCCAAACGCATCGATGGAATGTGGGGACCCCAATGAGGTTGAAGACAGAATGCCCCTTGTTTATGAAAACAAGACACATATCCACCCAGCAAGATGACTTCCCAAATTTTCAGTGCAAGTATCCAGGAGGAAGAAAGTGCCCTGTCTCCTTGAGGGATCCGTTTGATGTTCAGAGTCAATACAAAATAAACATAGCTGGCTGGGAGTTGAAGTCAAATTAAGAGTAAGTTCCCAAGGAACCACCGTATGCTGCCAACGAGCTGTAGGCCCCTGGAAGGACTCGCTCATGGCCGAAGTGGTCTTTGATCAGTTCCTTCCCTGGTGACCTGCCCCCCGACTGCGTTTGTGTCCTGAGGCTTCTGTTCCGGGGAAGCAGTTAGCAGGAAGTCCCGGAACCAGCCTTTGGACCCCACTGTCCAGCCGAGCACAGGCCCACCCTGCAGCAGCCCTGCACCCCTCCCCACCCTGCTGCCCATCCCCCACCCCACCTCCCGGTCCCCCCACCGTGCTGCCCGTCCCCACCCTGCAGCAGCACCTGCCACCCAGTCCCCCACCCCGCTGCCCAGCCCTTACCCCGCCGCCCATTCGCCACCCCGCCACCTGTCCGCCCGCCCCACTGCCCGTCCCCACCCTGCTGCAGCCCTGCACCCCTTCCCACCCTGCCGCCCATCCCCCTCCCCGCCCACCCAACCCCACCCCACTGCACGTGCCCACCCTGCAGTAGCCCTGCGCCCCTTCCCACCCTGCTGCCCAACCCCCGCCCCACCACCCGATCCCCCCACCGTGCTGCCCATCCCCACCCTGCAGCAGCACCTGCTGACCCTTCCCACCCTGAGGCCCAACCCCCGCCCCACCGCCCAGTCCCCCCCCTGCCCGTGCTGCCCGTCCCCACCCTGCAGCAGCTCCTGCTGACCCTTCCCACCCTGATGCCCATCCCCCGCCCCACCGCCCGGTCCCCCCACCGTGCTGCCCATCCCCACCCTGCAGCAGCACCTGCTGACCCTTCCCACCCTGATGCCCAACCCCCGCCCCACCGCCCAGTCCCCCCACCGTGCTGCCC